TAGCTCCCGTGACTCCATTTGCATCCCCATTTCTCTCCGGTAGCTGCGCCTCACTCAGAGTCAACTCCTCTTGCGTTGTCCTCACGCCCTCCGACGAAACTTGGCTCCTCTGGAATGCTTGTTAGCAGAGTCACAGCCGAGATGCACCTGTTCCCTGGACGCAGGCAGAGCACCTGTCATGTGTAATTTAACATTTCCATTTCGAGGGAGCGCTGAACAAACAAGAATGATGAAATTACCGTTTGTCTTATGTAATGTCTCTATTTGTGTAATATTATGTGAACATTACGCGAGTCATATATACGTACCCTTTACATTAACTGCACTGAAATAAAATAGTTTTTCTTGTTGTGAAGACATACTATTAGTAAATTTTTATTCAAGCATTGTTTTATTAATTCATACTTTGATTTAATTCTGACGTACTGTAACGGCGTACTGATACAGTGGCATTTTTGGAATGACGTAATAGTATGACCATTTTGAAGAATTTTTCTGTAATTCACGCTCCTATTATTTATATTTAAAACATTTTGATTTCATTTTTTAAAGTGATTTTTACAGGCTATGGAAAATCCAGGAAAATAATTTTAATGTTAATGCATGCTTATTCCTGGAAAAGTATGGGCAATAACAACTTTTTTTCAATACTGAGTAGGAAAAAATGACATGTTATCGATATTATTTAAGTAATTCATTGAATTTGCAGTGGATTCTGATTCTCGTACTCGTGCGACTTACCTATCAAATTCAACCATAAAGTCTCATATCATAGAAAATAATTCTATTAGATAAGAGGGAAATATTTTATTAAATATCACACTAGCACGGAATATCCCATTCTAGCTATTAAATAATTCAATTTAAAACACTGTGCATTATTTTTTACGCCATTTTCCTTCCATAAATCTGTATAATGCCTCTTTCAAATACATTTATAAAATTGTTTGTAAATAAGCTGTTAACTTAAGCCTTTTATTTTATTCAAAATAACACGGTACATTATTTAAAATATCTTCACTTCAAAAATTTCAAATGAAAAACAAAAGAGGTTGTATATTAAAGATATTCCTCAAACAAATACTGATCTCATTAAAAGTGGAGTATAGCATCAGGTTTATTATCGTCTTGACAATAAAGGAAAATAATGTTGATTATTTACATCTGTACTTGAAATGGTTAAAGGAATATATACTAGAAGAAAATAACGGAATACAAAATCTTTGTGATCATATTAACAAAACAACCAGTTTATTTTTAAATGAAAACAATTTTTTAACCAAATTCCCGCAGCAGCTTCAATATCAACATTTGTTTTTCAGTACAAGTGTAGGTTTAATCATCTTTGTCACGTAAAGTCTTGGGAATTTCCGTTCAATTTGAGTCGCGAATGGTTGGTGGCACTGAATTACGCGTTGTACTACAAGAGACGCCGGCGAGGCGCTTCTCGGAAGAGCGCGGCCGACGCAATCGGGGAGGGGGGGGGGCGCGGCGCAGCGCTGCTCAGCGCGTTGCACAGCCCGGTGCCTCGGCTGTAAAACCACGAGACGGCGCTGCGGGCCGCCGCCGCTGTTCCTTTCCTGCTTGATGAGTAAAAAACATAATTATGCGTTCGAGAGCTTCTCCATTCTACGCTACTCCGTAGTTCTCCTTCGTGCCGGCTCGCTTGCCGTCCCTCGCCGCCCTTTTACTACGCTACCGCGCCCTCGCCCTTTTTCCCCTCGAAACCAGATTCCTCGCCGCTCGGTTTCCTCGAAACCCTGTTATCTCGTTCCCTTGTTTCTTCACCACTCTGTTTCTGCGTCCTTCTGTTTCTCCGCCACCCTGTTCACTTGTCACCGCTCTACCCCTCCCCTCTGCTTTCCTGTCGCTCAGTTTTCCCTTCTTCCTGGCTCCTTGCCTACTAGTTTCTCCGCCGTCTCGTTTTCCTGCACCCGCATCAGTCTTCTCGCAACCTAGCCACACTCACTCAGTTGAGCAGCTACCCAGACGCCCCACCATTCACTCTCCCCATCACCCATTGCCCTGTCATGCGCCACCCAGTCACCTCGCCAGCCAATCCCCTGACCAGCTAGTCACTTCGCCACCCAGTCACCCCACCAGCGCGTCATCCCGCCACCGAGTTTCCCTGCCACCTAGTTTCCCCGCCACCCAGTTGCCCAGCCACCCAGTTTCCCAGCCACCCAGTCACACCGACATCCAGTCACTCCGCCATCCAGTCACTCCGCCATCTAGTCTCCACCACCCAGTTCACCCCTGCCAATAATCACCCCGCTACAAGTCACCTCGCCAACAAATCCATCCGTCACCCAGTCCTCCGTCACCCAGTTTCCCAACCACCAAGTTTCCCCGCACCCAGTCACCCGCTCCCAGTCACCCCGCACCCAGTCCACCGCCAAGTCCCACCCCGCCACCCAGTCACCCGCCACCCAGTCCCTCCCGCCACCCAGTCCTCCCGCCACCCAGTCACCGCCCATCCAGTCACCCCACCGCCACCACAGTACCCGCACTCCAGTCACCGCCCGCCACCCAGTCACCGCCACGCAGTCACCCCGTCCCACCTCCAGTCACCCTGCCACTTAGTCACCCCACCACCCAGTACCTCGGCCCCGTTTCTCTTACACACCAATTGTAACTTTTCCCCGCCATAACAAAAGTTCCCTCACAATCCAACCCACTACAACATCAGTTTTACGTCTCCGTGGCTACTACTACAGCACCATCCTTCACCTTCGACCACTCGCCACTTTCGTAGCCCTCTTTTTTATCTCCGCCCTAGCACCATCGCCCCTCGGCCAGCTCGTCTCCCCTCCGCGCGCTCCGCCCCCCGCAGCGGCACATTGGACGCTCCCCTGGACCGTCTTACGTCCTTTATTTCCTTGATTGTCCTTTGTTCCATTTTTCATTAAAGCGCTCGCGTGAAGACGAGGCGGCGAGGCGCGGAGGCGAGCGACGGTGGCGCTGTTCGTTCTAGCGGAGGCCAGTCGAGTGGTTTATGGCGGCCAACCGAGCGGTAATGTTCGGCACCCAGTGACTCTCATCCAGACCTCGAGATGTGTATGATGGCATAAATATTCTGTACTACATGCCAGAGATTTAGTGTGGTCGTAACTCATTTTAGATAATGGGTGACGCATCTAAAAATGACAAATGACGTGTAGAAAGAAAAAACACACTTGAACTGAAGTTATAGTAAGTATTTTAAGAAGAATATTAAGAAACTGGGGAATATATTTCTTGGTGTATACTCGCTGAAATATTATTGACTTGAAGATGGTACCTACTAGATGCATTAAGACACAATACGACAGAGATAACACGTAACGACAAAAGTGAGACAAACGACAAAAGTTGAGACAAAAGTGTATAATTCATAAATTATTATAATATTACCCTTCTAGTATTTACGATAATAATTATTAGAGAATTTTCAAGCATTTATGTAATGATGGAAGGTTTCACTGAATAGTTGAAGAGGTAATAAATGGTTAATGTGAGAATAAATGAAGGGTTATCAATATCTTCTTCAACAAAGTTGTTATTGACTGCAAAGGTACTCGTATTGAAGAGAGTAATAGTAGAGTGGGCGAGTGAGGAGTTCGCTGTGTGTGGTGTCATTTTGTCGAAATAAAATTCTGACCCGGAGATCCAAAATTCGAGTCCCGACGATGGCAGGATTTTCAATGATAGCTAGATAAGTACTTTGAATTCATTCGCTGTCTGGAGGAGAATTCTAGAGGCCGGCTGCTCTGATTGGTAGTTTTCCGTGGCTTTTCCTATCAACGCGAATGCCTGAGCAGTACCGTATCAAACGACCCAAGGATTGAGAGCAACCTTTCCTTCCAGTTCCTTGTCGTACCTACCCCTTACTTACACACACTTACACTTACTACGCTACGGCACATGCCAAGAGACCTGTCGGAAACTTAGAGCTTGTCCCGGCTGGGGCGGGGCCTCGCTGGTGGGGGATACCTGGTTAGGGGAAACCCCGTTAGCCCACTGTAGATCGGCACTGGATCTTACCATCCATTTGGGGAAATACCACCACCACCACCTTCTACGATGGAAAACACGCACTAAACTTACGGGACTGATGGTTGACCGCTGTTAATGCGCCCTGTGTCACTAATGAATCAATCAGTCTATGTAACAGTACAGATTTACGGACACTCTGCAACGTTATGAGTTAAAGATGTTTATGAACGCGGTTTCTGAAGCCTTTGATCTTCCGAGTCACAAGGTTTTGCGTGGGCTGCTGCGATGCGTGGGTGACCGGCGGGGACAGTGGAACGGCTGGACCAAAACGGGATGGCGGGGAGGGAGGCATTGGAACTCGGTGGCGAGAGGAAGGCCCGGGGGAGGCGTGAAGAGTCAGTCTCCTCCGACCACTCACCCCCTCACTTCCACCCGCACAGCTTTATTCTACGGGCGACACCGGATACATCCGGGGAAATTTGGAGCGTGTCCAGATCTTGCCAAAAGTTGGATGGGAATTCGTTGGATGGTTCATAAAAATAGTAGTCTAACAACTTTCGGTGGGTGAATGGAATAATTTAATCGAAAAATTGAAAGCTGTGTTTGTTTCATTTTCTTATTTTGTACAAAAATTAATTTTGATTTTTCAAATAAAATATTATTTTCTAATATATAAATATTTGAACTCATTTTCTGAAACAAAATAGTTTGTGGAAATAATACATTATTAACATACATAGTGAATATTTTGATCTACGTCTACTGTTCTAGGGAAATAAAATACCAGAAAAACACATGAGTTTATATTTTTTAATAAATTGTAATTATTCGTTCAGTTAAACAAATACTTGTAGCTGAGATTGTAGCTGAGTTTGTAGCGATTGACAGAGAAAGAGAGGCTTTAAGGGGAGAGTATATAAAATAATAATGTTAAAAAACCATTTGAGAAGTAATTGTATTTGAATTACTGTGTTATGTTTCTATTAAAACCACATATTATATAAAAAAGGAATCGAGTTGAATGGCTAAAATGAAACCTCCAAGAGGGTTCTTTTCCTCACGAAAAGAATCTCCAAAAAAATACAAAATATTAGAAATTACATAGGAAACAATCGAAGTAATATCGAGCGAGAAAACCTACGAAGCAGCTAAGAGAAAATTCGGAAAACCGACGACGTGATTCAAAGAATATAAAGCAGCAGGATTAAAGAATAGTACGAAGCTCAGATCAACTCCCAAAAAGTCCACAGAACACCATTCACTTGGATCTCCCCCTTTTAAGTGGTTCCACGCAAGAGAAGCAAAACTTCACAAGTCTTCTGTTCGCTGAAGCATCTTAAGAGCAACAAAGAAAGATGCGCTTCTTTTCAATGCCTTTCATCTATGTAGGGCACCTAACTTCCTCCATTTTGTGTGAAAGCTGAAGCTTCCATTGGTGAGCTCAGCAAATAAAGCAAAGTGAATCTGTTCGCCCTTCTATTTGGCGACGCCAGTGCCATGAGAAAAAAACATAATTTCATTCACTTCTGCTTCTCCTATTGAAAATCAACACGCCTACTTTACAAGCACGTGGTTATTAGATCAGTACTGATTTTCAACCTATGTTTTATCGTATTGACATCAAGTATTCACAAATATAATGCGTACTACATCATGTCAAACATAATGCAGGCTTCATTGCACTGGGCAGAGTTAAACCCTCATTGTCACACATTTCCCCCAAGTGTTTAAGCAACAGATCGTCATAAATTCCTGACAATCAGTATTAAATAAGCTGGACCAGCAAAACAATAAGCTGATTAATTCACAAATGAAGTGATTCTAACTTAAATAACAAAACTTGAAAATTAGTAGGTCATGCCTCAATTGCAATATTTTCTTCTAAAGAATTATTAGAACTGTGAATAGTTTGCCGATTCAGGTGATAATCACCGTAAAATTAAAAACATTTTAAAAGATTAATTAAATAATGGTATGTTGTATCAATAAGTAGTTGTAGAGTCGTGTAACATTTGGTACACCAAAAAAGTAAGAATAGTCATTCTTCATCTCCTATATTTTAGCGTGTGCTAAAAGAATCATTATAAATTAGTTCTTCGTTTACGACCGACTTTTAAACATTCGAGTTACTGGTGCAATTCTTGTTTCTTTAAGGATTAAAAAGCGTGTATTACAAAATAATTTACAACATATTACGTCACTAAATTTACTTAGTAATATTGATACAGTGCATTTTTAATTCATCTTTAAAAAGAGAAGGTTGAAGGTTGTTATTTTACTCAGAAAACCTTCTCGGTAAAAACTCGTCTTTTTCGGGTAATCTTCAGAACAATTCTTGAAGGAGCTTGCAGTTTAGAATTAATTATAAAATATTTATTTTCAGTTCAGTGACAATTTTTGTAGTATTTTGGCCCTATTTTGCCTGCATGGCTTCCATGGCCTGAAAATGAACTAATTTTCTCTTGACCAGGAATAAGATAAATGTCCTGTTGAACATCTTAGTGGAATGAGTTTCCGCTGAAGTAACATTTTAGAATTGTGCTAAATAAATCAGGCATTCCATAGAAATCAGTTAAAGCAAGACATGAATGTAAAATACAGCACTTAGGACTCAAGATTATATTATTCACAATTACGAAATTAACTCTATTTTGACTCTTCAAAAGTAGTTTACCTTTTTAGCAACTTTTAAGAAATATTATAGTCACATGCAGGGAGCGAAGCGGCTCAGGGCGCAGAGCGGTAACCTCGCATTCGGGAGGCCTGGGTTCAATCTCGTGCCGGCCATCTGACCGATATTTTCGCGATTTCCCTTGGTCATCCAGGTAAATGCTGGAATGGTTCCACTGAAAGTTCACGACCGCGAAACAAGCGTCGCTGGCCGAATTCGTTAATTAATGTCAAGAAGGTTAGGCGAACTCGAGACATCGCGGGTTCCTGGCTGGGTGGCCGACTAAAAACACCGGGATCTAACGGCGCCGAAGCCTATGGCTCATTAATGGCTACCCCTTAATGGTCAAATAAAATACAAATAGTGCCTTGACACGTATAAAATTTCATCTTAAATTAGAACTGTCCGTTCCATATCATTCCTACAGATTACTCGCGTCGAATCTGAGTGAAAACGTCAAACAAGCGAGCGCACAGAACGGGCCTTTTAGTCCCACCTAATAAAAACATTTTTTATCTGTAATAAAAATTAATACTTTAATTTATTACTTTTTCAAGCTGATGATATACAACATATAAAAACAACATTTTAAAAGAGGTCCTCCAAACTATTTGGAAACTGTATGAATAGTTTAACATGAAACCTATTTTATTTATGAATGATATTATTAAAATTACATTTTCGTTCATCTTGTAGTTATTTTTGTTTATTTGCTAGTAAAATGTGCCATATGTCAATAAAAGAATTTAATAGAAAAGGGGGCCCAAAGGGGTCCAGAAATGCAGTTGCCTACGACTCGTTTGTAGGCTGCGTACACTTATGGACTCCATCCTACGAGGAATGAACGATATGTTTGAACATCACTACCTTGACTGAAGTTTGTTGCATGTAGCAACGAATTCTGCCCTCTAGCCATATATTCAAAATTACAGAGCTCTCGCATGACAGATTTTCACGCGCATCCACCGCGTTTGTGATTAGTGCGTGATGACGAAACCGCGCCTCTTCAGTGGAATGGGGTTTTGAGTGTCTCGCAAGCACATTACACAAGCCCTGTCATTGATTTAATCGAGGGGTTCATGGTTTCGTGCGCGTAATGGAGATCACGAAATTCAGATATTTCTTTCTGATTTCTGGCATATTCAATGAGTCTGATTTTTGTTTTAGGGAGCTAATGAATTATAAAACTTTTGTGCCAAGTGATGTATAATTATTTCCGTTAGTTTTATAGTTTCGCATATAAATTTATTCTTCAGACTCTTTTCCATTATGCTGCCAAATATGGTGTCCTAAAATGTCATTTACCACATTTATTAAAAAATAGTAGAATTCTTTCTAGATCTACGAAGCTGAAATTCATTTTCTCTTTCTGAATAATTGTATTTCGTGTAGATACGCTACTTTGAAAATTATCTCTTCACTTTCTTCCGATCATATAAGGGCGAAGAGATGCTTCCTAGAAATGAATAATTGTATTTCGTGTAGCTATGTCACTTTGAAAATTAGCTCTTCACTTTATTCCGATCATATTAGGAGAGAAGAGATGCTTACTAGAAATAAACACGACGTTCCTTTCGGCGCATCACAGTTACGCGCCTCAAAACCCAACGTCAATAGCAATTTGTAAAATTGCATGGCGCTGCTCTTAATACTAGACTCATCATGCACCAAGTGTAACTTTTTATTATCCGGAAGTGCGTTTAACTCCGAAATGATGGATGGTTTGATCGGTCTTAATTAAACAGCATCTTTGTTACATTCATTATAATATTGTTAAATGGTATGTTGCGTGGATGATGTAAAGGTTTTCTGAAGGTTTTGCCCAAAGTTGCGGATTCGACATTGGCCGAAGCCATAGAACTTTCAGAAAAATTGTGTGTTTACTTTTTATTTCAAAAGAGAAATAATGTTTGCTGTTCTATGCTGATGATTTGTGAAGCTTAAAATAATATCATGTCTTAATAACATCTCTCAGTAAAATTCTAAGAATGTCTCTAGACTTAATTTGCTATTAGATGACGTCATGGAGCTAGTTTTTCCATGTGTTACGTAGTCACACAATTAATGCTACAGGTAAATAATCATAATCATAGCAAAAACTAGAGAGCGTTAGAATTCAAACAAGTTAATTGTAGACGACTATAGATAGATACACGAATAATGTGGAAACACTGGGACGAGAAAACATTCCCATGCACTTAGTATTCACACCCAGTTTCCGAACTCTAATTTTATTAGTTGTACATACAAGAAGAGTTGGGAGTTATTTCTTTAGAAGTACCTACTACCGTATCAAATGTGTAACTTGCTTCTGCTGATAGTTTCTGGTGTGCTAGAAACGGTCATTGTTACAATTTGTTCGATATTCACCTGCGTGTGGAAAACGAGGGACTGAAGACTACGAAGTTCAACAACGTAGTTTCCATAACACGAGAGCGAACATTTCTTCCCATCAAACGATGCCAACAAGAATCGGTGCTATCTTATTGTCGAAATAATATTTCTATCTACTTGACAGATAGCGGCTCACAGAGGGGATGGGATTTGTTGTCCAATTAGAGGCTTCAAATTGTAATGATGTAACTCCAACGTGCCGATGCATATTAACAAAAAAATTGATAAAGCGCGAGGTAACTAAAAAATAAAGAGCGCTATTACTTGTTCGGTTATGCGTCATATGTGCGGTTCTCTGTCGTCTACTGTTGTGTGCTCTCATTTCGATTTCTTTCTTGTTACTGCAGTTGTTATCTGATGCAAGAACGACCGTGTGTCTGCCAGCGGAGGAAGTGGCAACATCTTTCTATCCCACCCCCAGCTGTCAAGTAGACAGAAACATTCTTCGCACATTAAAGTCTACGTATGGTAAAAACACACGTAGCAGGCTTCCTAGAGATGAAACCAACACGCGCAGCCCGTCGGCACCGCTTCGCCCGTCGCGCGAAGAGGGCGGTACTCACCTGGTAGACGAAGCCCGGCGGGTCGAGCGCGCTGCCGCGGGCCCAGAGCACGGGCACGCCCGCGGCGCCCGCGGCCAGCGCCATGCCCACGGCGGCGGGCGACCCGCCCACCAGCAGCAGCGCCGCCACGCGGCGCGCCGCCGCCAGCGCGGCACACGAGCGCTCCAGCGCGCGTGCGTGCAGGGCGCGGCCCTCGGGGAACGGCAGCAGCAGCGGCGCCAGCGTCACGTTGCCGCCGTACGCGCCTGCGGCACCAAGGATAGCACCCACTGGGATTGGTGATGTGATATGGGCTAGTGGCTCTAATGCTAAGGACTAATACTAGGTAGAAACTAGGGTTCTAAACTTCACAGCAGCACTAGTGAAAACCAAGGGATACAATTTTTACCCTAGCACTAGTGTGAACCAAGTGACCTAATGTTTACCCTAGCACTAGTGTGAACCAAGTGACTTAAAGAGTACCGTAGCACTAGTGTGAACCAAGTGACCTAAAGTTTACGCTAGTACTCGTGCTAACATTAGTGTTCTAATGTTTACACTAAGGCAAGTGCGAACCCACGTTTCCTAATTAGAGTCCCAGTGTAATAATATTACAAGGCCCACACGCTATTAACAATACTATTTCAGTTTCGTATTGAAATAAGGGAAAAATGTTTACACAAATTTTCTCATAATCTATAACCTTATATAAAAAATATGTCACTACAGCATTAGTCTGTCGTATCTCGAAAGGTAATTAATGAAATTTAAACTAAAATGATTCTGCGTTGTAATTGTTTCAAAGTGGATGATATCGTAATAGTTCTGCGGGATTCGTATCGTAACATCTTATGATACGTATTACGTATATAACAATCTTAAATATTAACAGCTCAATTTTAAAATATTATATCTATAAAACAGACGTAAATCATAAAATTATTGAGGAATATTTATTGTTTCCGAGAACAACCACAACTCTCTGTGCTAAAGAAGTATTCTCAGTTAATCCAGATTACACACATTCTACAAATGAATGACAAATGAATGTCAATGAAAATTTTTATATTATTGTAGTAATCTATAGAAATATGTGTAATATTGAAAAACATAACAACAGTTAATCCTAGATATTCCTTCCTGTGTTTAAGTTTTGTTAATTTAGTGCATTGAGTCAGCCATAAGTACGAAACCACGCCTCTATCTTCCGGAATGAATTCTTTGAAAGAAAACATGAAGGCTAGACACTGAGAAATTCTTTTCCAGAAAGTTTCCATGTCAGGCACATTTGTCAATAAGTTATATTCAATTTATATAAAAAATTTATTACTTCTTAGGTAATAATGTGTATCACGATGAATCGACATCATTCTTCCCGTAAATTTAGTGACTGTCATGAAGGTGGCGGTGTTTCTACCTCACTGGAATGTGAGATGAGCCGCACAGTCTGCACATTGGATGGCGAGCTCTTCCCTCAACAGAGTATTGTTCCAACTGCGACCAGCTCGTAGTTTTCGACTTGTTTCCCAAATGTGTGTAATTCATGTACGGGCTTGTGTGTGAGGGAAGAAAAAGGGGCATGGATGAAAATGAAAAGCAGGTGGGATGTGCGTGGTCCGTTTGTGAAGATTGCCTCCGACATTCACCTGGAATTCATCTTAGAAACCACTGGAAGCTACTGATCAGAGCCACTAAATGTTAGAATTCCCTTCCAAACAGTTGTTGAATTCAAACCTAGCTTTGTAGCTACATTTAATGTACATTACAGTTGGGACGCGAACCTTAGAACCTGACTGTCACAGTACTTTCCGAACTGCTCGGACATTGCACATGCTTGTTGCATAAAGCAATCTGATTAGAAGGCTTTTTGAACGGTGTGAAACTTAATAGCGGAAGCCGCTAACAAGCAACCTCGTGACATTTAGCGTTTCGTGTGCTGATTGTGTTTTGCACATCGATTTCTTTATAAGAGTTCTCGTTAATGAATGTTTTTCCAAGTTGCAACGACAGAGTATTGTGCTGTCATTAAATTCCCAGCATTGTTCATCGAAACGGTTTGTATGCTCTGCGTACGAGTATATGTATTTTTCTCTATGTATATATATATTTTTTCGTACTTGTTTGCATCAATTACTATGAGAGTCAGTCAAATGAAAGCAAGATAGACTTTTTTATATATTTTTAGTCACATGAACGACTAAGGTCATTAGCGCGCGACAGTCTATATCGAGCATAGCGTGTTAACCGCTCTGCCATTTGTCTGTTAGACATGCTGGAAGTGATGTCAGCAAGTCTGTGCGCGCCCGATATCACTATAGTGGCAGGAAATGTGGAAAAATTACGTGCAGTGCGTTTTATGACAGTGTAAGGAGTGTCAGGAGGTGAAATTTATTTTAGAATGTCTGTTTAGTGAGCTGACCACAGTAAAAAGCTTTTCAAACAACGCGTCAAGTCCAAACATCCAAACATGTTGACAGACGGGAACATTCTGTTGCACGGCAATGCCCACCGACATGCTGCCAAGGTTGTTTAGAGTACTCTGCAAAAGTTCCACTAGGAAGCGCACACAATCCAGATCTATCCACATTTGGTTTTCCAATTTTTGGAACTCCGAAGATATTCGATTTTCTTGGGGCGAAGAGCTGCACCCTGGGTACAATCATTGTTCCGTAGGCAACTGCAAATAAGTTTCTATGAAGGCAATGACAATCTTGTCTCAGTGGAATATTGTTTTAAAATAGTTATGACGATAACTTGAAATAATAATAAGTTTGAAATAATAATAATAAGCTTACTTACTATTTTTCCATATGTCTCGTTTTCATTTTACTAACCCTCATAGTTTAACGATTCCAAAACATCCTGCCAATGCAAGTTGGAATTATCGTAATGTTCATCGTACACGCCACAGAAATTGACAAATGAACTAATTTTCCCCCAAATATTTTTCAAACGAAACGACAGAGTTCGCGCTGCACACATGCTCCAATGTTTTGTACTTGATGAATTCCAAACTGTGCCATTGAAGAATAGAAATTTAATTCAATAAATAAACAAATATACAATTAAATAAAACAAAGAACTATAAAAATCAATTGAGAAAATCCTATCTAAATATCTCTCAAGCTCTATCTCTCTATAAATAAAATAAATAACTTATTTTAGAAAGGAAATGAACAGGGAATCTATTTTCATTGCTTTTTAGGTTATGGCAGGGGAAATAGGTCATTGGGAAAAAGGATTTGATTATGAGATTTTGAAGGTGGGTTGGACAGGGCTGGTTGAAGAGTCTCGCACAATGTGTCATTCAGGGATAGTAAAACTTTGTCAGTGTGGAGGTAAATATTAAGAGATAATAGGTGTGTAATAGAGAATAAATCTTTAAGGAAAACATGTTAATTTAAAGATCTTTACACAGTTTTGTTCGATTAACCATGACTCGTTTACGGCTATCCGCCGTAAATGAGTCATACTTCTATAATATATATTTCAAGTTAACATTTTGGGGGATAAAATATGTATGAGCTTATTCTATCTACTTAGAATGTACATTAAATAAACAATTATATGGAAATATCATCTGAGGAGAATTACAGAACTCGAAATATTTTACGAGCCTAGATGGCATCCACTGATACCACTGCAGTGCTTCTAACAGAGTCATAGGATGGGGGGGCTGTTCGAAATCCGAAGGTGCATCGATACCAATGGTGGATTTTCGATACCAACTAAATAGCTCGGTGGATTGTACTTGCTGTGTAGAGAAGAATTCTAGCGTCCGGCTGCTCTGATCGTCAGTTTTCCGTGGTTTCCGCGATGAAGACCACGCAAATGTCTGAGCAGTGTCGTAACAAATGGGCCAGGGACCGCGTATTTCCTTTTCTTCCTTATCCTATCCTCATCTCAGGCACACTCTCACACTTCACTACTACACAGGTTGGGAGTTTAGAGAGATAGCACTTCTCGAGTTCTCTCTTTATAGAAATACTAGTAGTTCCAAAGGTTTCCGGTCTGACACTCAAAAATCGTGCCAGGATAGTGGCCATGTTGATCAGGCCAGGATACTGATCAGGCCAGGATAGTGATCAGGCCATGGATAGTGTCGAGTGTCAATGGCAAACAATCTATCTGTATTCGTTTGTTTGAGACAGATGCTTGTTTCAGTTGTTACGAGTTAAATTGCTACAATGTTTAAAATTAAGTATCGAGGTGTGATAAAGTTCTTTTTTTGTAGAGGGGCATTCTCTCTAATAATCTCTAATAATCAAGGATCGATTAGATTCTCCTCATGGGGAAGACTCTCCATCATACTCCACCGTAAAGGAATAGGCCAAGCAGTCCCGCCTGGGTAGAGACTCGGTTGAAGAGAAACCTCGTGATGGTCGGCGATTGGAAGTTATGGAAAAATTTCCTACACGCAACAGTAATCTCCAAAAAGTGGAAAATATATACAATGACAAAGTAATCAGATGATATGTTAAAATTTGAAAGGAAATTGAAATGTGTTATTTGATAACATAAAATATAGTAAATTAATTGTATTTAGTACACGTAAAGCCACCATACGTTTTTTCTGGGCATCGTTCTGGATGTTCTCAATATTAACTAACATCAGATATTTAAATTGTGTAATTATTTTGCAGTGAACTTGCTGCAGCAACTGCAGTGAATTGGTGTGCTATTATGTTGTAATGACAGAGAATTTCAGGGAGCAAAATAATTATTGTAGTATGTCACTTAAAGTTACATTATTTTAGAATACTTAATATGATGCTCTAGTAGGCTTCAAATATCTATCATCTCATTGTAGGACCTCTTTTTTCGTTGGCATATGAGTACAGAATAAAAAAATGCCTATCACACATATGTTGAGGGTGCTAAGGTTCCTAAAATACTCATGATAATATTATTAAACACAATGCCTTCTCGTATATACCATACTATACCTCTATCAAATATAAAAATTGTATATTTTCTTTTTATCAATTTTTACAACGAAATGTATTTCTAGTTGTAAGCTTGTGCAACAATAAATTCTTTATCCGTGCACAAACGTTTTATATCATATTAGGGAATACAAGACATGTTTCTGAATAACTGTCTTTACAATGTTTAAATTAAACGAATTGTTCTGAAATATGTGAAAATTTTGAAAGTAGTTATCTAAATCCGTTTACTAATCTTAATTTTCTACTAAATCTCTTAAAAACGTCTTCTATGAAATCTCTGCTTTCGTATTTCTTTGTCTTGTTTCTAAAAACTTTGT